ATGTTCATTAGTAGAGGCATTTGTATCCCGAGGTACCACTGTATACTAGTTTCCTTTGTATGATACAGCAACGTAAGATTTATATTGATAATATTTAGCTTAAATATTGATTCTAGTCCTTCAAAAGATTGCTAAAAAGTATTAAAATCATATTTTCAATGTAAAGCAAACTTATTATTGATGTAATAATATTCTACACATGCTAGTACTTAGCCGTTTTGAGTAGCATATCACAGAATGTAGCTATGTCCCTTTTTGTCATCCATATAAAAGAATATAATTTCTAAAAATCAAATTGAAATTAGAGTAATATTTTGATAAATTGTATCTACCTGTACTTTGAATCTTTTGGGTTGGGCTTTTTATTACAAAATCTGGCTTCTTAAAAAAGTATTCACTGAAAAGATTAAAAGAATATTATTGAGAATTTTAGTTTGGAGATTTGATAGACAGATGCCTCAAAAGTACTTCAATTTTTCACACTGCACTGCTAACTGAGGAACATACAGTGTTTGGTCATCGGTGTCCACAGCTTCAGCTAATTCTGTCAAATGATAAAAGCGATGTTGCACTTTTGTGCCACAAACTCCATCTCTTTTGAGTATGCATATAACACCATGACAGACATACCAAATGGGCAATACTGCTTTTGTCAGATTGCCCATTTTGATGACCCCAGCAGATGTTGCCGTGCATGTTTCATGTTCAGACTCAAATTTGGAAGATTCCTCCACCCTTTTGATAATTTATTTATCTATATCGTACTTCAGGAAAAAAATCATAGAACAGCATACATAATTCCTGTATGTGGCATTATCCAGACGTCATGAATTAGCATGAGAGATGCAAGTTGATTTCTAACTTTGAAAGAAACTTTTAGATAACAAGCAAAGCTCCCTGTACAATTTAGGATAGAATTCTAGTCCGTTCAGAATTCATCACTAAACTTCAGAAGGAATTAGATACTATAAGTGGACCTTTTTAACTTAAAATAACTGGATCTATTCTAAGAATAACTAAATCTGGAAGCAACCCAATACTACATTTCCATTTGAAAATCTGATCTACAATTAAGATCAAAGTAGCAGTCCAGCTTTATACAGAAGATCCTAGGTACAGTACCTTGCTTGAGCATCACTTTTTCTAAAATCATGAAAACTGCTTTTATTTGTAATGTAGGCTTCATTTATGCTGGATGTTGTCATTTTTTCAGTTGCACGAAGGTTATTATCATTTTGAGTGAGTAAAGCATCAGTTGAATTCCTATTGGCAGACTTCAGTTGTTCTATACTGGAAGAACTATTTTCAAATTTAGAAGTATTCTGCACATTAGAAATAAAATTTTGTAGCGGATGTTTCACTTCTGAATATATTTTGCCATTATCAGAGGGCTGCTTGCTGGAATCTGTTTGAAGATGTTTGGTCATAGCCTGCAGAAACTTTTTTTGAGGGATATCATCATCACTTAATATTTCTCTTCTGACATCTTCCTATGTTTAAAAACAGCAATGAAAAGAAACAAATGCATAGAGAGAAAACAAAGCTGCAGGACAGGACCAGGTCCAGTACGATTGTAGAAGTTAAACAAAACAAGCATTACGCCTTCTGCTTGACTATAAAAACAACAGGAAAGCCAATATAAAACTGATTTCAAGAAAGCTCAATAATATGATTAATATTTGGATGTAACCCATTACATTAGTATCATGACTGAATAATTTCTCCAGCAGTTACTGCTTTTAAGAAATCAAACCTATATGTAAAACAACACCCAAAATAGCTAGAAGGGACCATCAAGGACTGACTAACAAGGGAATAGAATTTCACTGTATTTATTTTTAAAATGCAAATGAGCGTAGCTCATTGAGTTATTATTGATTCCAAGAATTGAAAGACTGGAATTAAAAAAACAACCAGATTTCTACTGAGAGGCTGTTATGCATGCATGGTGTCTGCACAGAATCATCTCCTAGCTTTGGCTAGTACCAGAGAAGACCCATGAGCTCTCCTCACTGCAAATCCCCACATCCTGCTGCACCAGGCCTTCCAACAGGCACAGGCCTGCACCTTGGGGTTCTGCCAAGTGAGATGGAGGAAGCAACTTGAAGCACCTTGAGTAAAAATGCACTCCTTCACAGCATAAAGCATCTCATCCAGGTGACCGCAAAGAACCTCCTACTCCTCTGTACAGTATTGTTCTGCTAATTTGCACTTGAGGAGTAAAGACTGCAGCATCAGGTGCCATGCTTTCACAGCAGAATGCTACCCTATAGCTATATAGACAGATAAAAATGCCTGTAATTCCCAGCAAATTGAAGAAATGAAAGGTCAAGGTAGTAAAATGCAGTGAGGCCAAAATTGTAGATACATTGTCTATATAAACAGGATGTATATATAAAACATACATATTTAAATTATATGTTTAAAATTAATATAATTAATAGTAACTTAATGGGAATTTTCATTCTTCTTTTATAAATATACAATGCTATTTTGCTCACATATAAAACATCCCTATGTTTCTGATTTTGACAGATTTCCTCAACTACTACTAAGAGAGAGAAAAGAAAAAAAACCTCTTGATGCTCATTTTCAAGGCCTTTGATTCTGTATAAAATTTCTTTTGCTTCATTCCAATAATCTTCAAGAATCTTTTCTTTGTGCTGCAAATCTACTTCCAAATTTCTTCCTTCATCCACTTGGAATGAATCCTGACTCGTCTTCACTGACAATTTTTCAGCTTGTGAAAAAGAATAGAAATAATTGTGTTTCACAGAAATAAAGGTGTATATTTTGCACTAAAGACTTAAGATATTACATCCCCCCCAAGTGTAACATATTTAAGATATGATTTGTATCAAATAAATTCTTTTATTCACAGAAGAAACCACCTAAATGTCCAAAATAAATGGCTTGTTTAATAGCAGTTTCTTGCTCCAGGGTGAAATCATCTTGCCCAATCATTACTGTATTTCTTTTTATATATGTTATTGTTCAAGAAGTATTTTAGTACAGTGTAAAACAACTGAGGATCATATTCAGTGCCACTAGGAAAATTTTAGAAACATTTGCTAATTTATAACCCTGGTTTCACAAAACACATTCTCAATTCAATTCAAAATTAGACTTATTATAAAATGATACTGTACAATCTATACATTGGAAGCCCTAACAAATATAATTAGTTTCAACCAAAAGTACTGATTTTGCAACAGTTTCCAATACTGATCACCTGAATACAGTTTTTATTTCCTATCATGGCCAGGCAAGTGACTATTTAGAAGCATGCCTAGGTGATTTTAAATACAGAAATCAAAATAGTGATAATCTTACTAATCTGTTTGCAGTTTTGCAACACAAAGGTAGCAGCTTTATTTAATTCTTCATCCTGCGTTTCAGTCAGTGCTTGAATCATAAGTGGGAGGCCATTGTTCTTAACCAGAGTATATTGATTTTCCTCTAAAAAAAATCAGCCTGAGTAAACATATTTGTCAAACTGTACAATTAAATAAGATCATCTGAAAACATCTTTTCAAGAAAAAGCAATTGATTCTGAGTTTTCAGCACAGCTTCACTTAATCAGGAACATGTAACCTCATTTACTTGACACCAATATGGTCTAAAATTTAAATTCACATTTTGCTATCACCGTGATCTATAGTTTATTCAATAAGCCATTTTAAACTAACCATAGCATACTATTATGTGCAAACTTCAGTGGTTCAAGGTGCACAGTACATATTTTGGCAGAAGTCAGACATCAGAATGACTCCTATGATTCCACATCTTGTAAAACTAACTAAACACCTAAGCACAGTTCCTAGATATTGTGAAATCCTGTTTGTATCTGCTCAGAAGTTATCCCTCAGGTCAATGCATGCCCAATTGAAATTTGCCACATTTAGAGTGTAAAGTTCTATTAAATTGTTGGAATGACTTCATATATATTTTTTATTGGGCTTACATCACTTGGAACTTCAAATATTTTATTTTGGCTGATTTTCCCATTTAGATGAAAGCTAAATGCAACTTCAAAAATCTATCATGGATTACTTGACCAATATCAGAATTGGTCATTCTTATTTATTATTATAAATTACATGTTGAAATTCTAATGCAGTCTGAACCTCAATGCAGCATTCACTACCCTCAAATAAATAAATACGTAAATATATCATTAAGAATCCTACCACAGACTTCTGTACAATGTCCAAGAGTAAGTATAATGCTGAATTGTTCTCCTGAATCCAAAATGTTGTAAGAAAGCAGTTTCAGTAGATTAGGTACAATGTTATACCTTGGTAAATGAATGCCAACTGCAGCTATCAACACAAAACAATTTAAAAGAAAAGCATGCCTCTTTAGGTATGCAATACAATGAAAGCATACACAAAGCTGTACATTTAGGAGAAACATCTGCATCATTGCTTCCAGTTATCGTAAACCTTTTATCTGGATCAAAGTTTACTATCTATGTGCAGCAGCCATGATAAAGACTTGTATATGAGATGTGAAGATACATTGAAGGAGATCTTGGCAACTTTCAGCTCTCTTACCCTTCTTGCAGTATTCCTAATGTAGCTGAAAGTCTTTCAACCACATTTACAGTTGTTTCAGAGGAAGTCAGAAGGCAAGGCAAATCCTAGTGATAAGATCAATGAATCATCTGCTAATATCTCATTCTATCAAATATTCTATAAGACAATGAATTGAATATAAATCCACACATACATCAAACATATAATGTAATTAACAATAAGTTTACGAATAGAAACTACTTACAGTTATCAGCAATACAGGCATCCAAAGTTTTTGTCACCACTACCGCAAGTTTTAAATTTATATTGTTTCCAGATGAACCATGTATCAGTTTGACAAGAAGCTCATCCAAAACAGCTAATCCACCAATAGAAATAAAAAAATTCTGCATTCTTGCTTGAAAAAAATCCCAAACAATAAACAATTACCAGCTTGCTTTAAGACAAAGATTTATAGACTTAATTACATTTGTTTTCAAGATTTGGCAAGGAGAGCAATTTTTAATTCTTTTATTATGTTAAAGCAGATAAAGAAAAACCTAGCTAACCAAAAACTTCCAAAGGAATCTCAAATAAACTCAATACCACTAGATTCAAAAACCTCCCTTGTATCTGAGCTAGATGAGCAAGTTCAAAATTTGAAGCTGATGTACACAAAACTAGCTTATTCTATAGTTTTACATAGAAGATTCATAAAACAAGTACAGCAGAAACTGTAAGACATAATGATGTTCTCACATAAACTTAAGATGTCTAAATAATGTTTTTCTGAACAACTCATAATGTTTGGTTTGCACAATGCATCAAATCATGCATTTTGTAGCCTTTAAATCTCTTTTTGTTACTCCTGGTCGCCTCTAATTGTATTGCCAAATATTGGATTCCACTATTTTGAAAAAGAAAATAGAAACTGTAGCATAAACTTAAAACAGACCTAATAAGACAGTTAAAAAAAGGAAAGGAAAATATATCCCAGCTTTGCCACATACACCACACCACATCGCTAACTTCACATCATCACTTTGCTTATTGCAAACTTCATCCTCTCAAAAGCCACCTAAACGGACATAAATCACATTAGAGTTTGTGTCATGCATCAGGTCACACTGTCTCCTTTTTCCCCACTTATGAATGATGTTTTATTCCATAGAATGAACATTTTCACAGAGTGTGTAGTATTCAATACTTACAATTATTTACAACAGTGAGCCCAATGAATGAACATATTGGGCGAACTATCTCAGGCTTCATACATCTTTGTAGCCAGTCTTTTGCATGTGGAAAAACCAAACTGCAAGCTTTCTGATTTTCCTCTGAAGGTAAACAAAATATGCTTTGAAAACTAGCCATTTGTCATCCCCTCCCACCTACATTTACTATAAAAAAATAAAAGCAAATGCTTGATAAAGTAATTACCATTCTGAGGATTGTTGACGCATGCACAAAGAGTACTACAAACAGAAGACCACAGATGATACTGATCAATTTTATGGTCCAAAAGGTTCATGTGAGATTCTGAAGGAATTGCTCTGTTAGAGAAAATAGACAGCATATAAAAGCAGTCATTTAGGCTTATAAAAATTACTTGTTCAATTGAAATTTTTTGTTAATTTACCTGAATAATTGTAGGAGAATATCAAGGCATCCAGATTCTCTCACATATGTTTGTCCACTGTCTATATTTTTAAATAACATTTAAAAAAAATAAATAGAACACTTCAAATATCAAGCAACTAATAACTCAATGAAATCTAATGAGTGTTTAGAAATTCTCCATATTTTACCTAAAACAAGCCAGGATTCCTGACTCATCCCAGGGTATTATTGAGTCACGTTTGTATGTTGTATTATTTATATTCTCTTTTTTGTCAGAACCAGTAAAACTGATCAGACATTTATAATTTATTCTGGATGTCCCTAGAAATTACAACCTAACAATAAAATGGGTTAATTTACTGCCAATACCTTATGTAGATTAGCCAGATTTTGCTGGAATTATTTATGCCTAAATTACATCTGGAGAACTTCCAAACAAAGTCTTTGGGTCAGTTCCGGGTCAGTTCCAGACCGTCTGAACTTAGGCTAACAGCAGCGTCCAGGATCTGAGTTAATGTATTGCTGGTTCGGCTGTAGTGAAATCTCAACAAATGGGTAGCTTTGGTTGAAATACTATGGCTGTGTACTTATGGTCAGTTTCTCTTCCCTATTGGTGAAAATGTTTTTTCACCCACCTCCTGCTTCTTTTCTGTCCCACCTACTTATAACACTCTTCTCATTCTGAGATTGGCTGAAGCGAAGGTCACATTCAAACTTCTTTGAAGGGAATGTGGTGCAGAAAGAGCAATACTGTATGTAGTGTGGAAATGACTACAAGAGACTGCTTTGAAGGCTGTTCAGAGCTTCAACTTATATTTAATGGAGCTGATCAATTACTTGTGGGACCAGGCAGATAATGGTAGTATATATCATCAAACTATCCTGGTTCCTACTGCATTTAAAGGCTCAGTGCTGATTATTACATAAAGCCCTAAGCAGCTTGAGATCAGGTAAACTGGTGCATCATCTGAAGCTATTTAAATCTGCCCAGATTTTACAACTGGCAGAGACTTTGTTCATGTGTTCAGTGATCTAGTACATAAGCAAGTCAGAGACTTTTTCTGTAACTAGTTCTCTTTTTTTAATATATATAAGAACTAATACAAACTAGTATAAAGGAAGAAAAAGGAAAAAGGTTATAAATTCCATCACATAAATGAATTTGTTATATAGCAGTAGTAAATTAATTATTCTCCAATTGCTAACTACAACACAGACAGAAGATTTAAAACAGTGAATACTATAACATACTATATATACACTTATTCAATATACTATATTTATATAAATTATAGTATATAATAGTCCCAATACTGTAAACATATATGCACATAATGTATTTATAATTAATTTACCTTACATGCATGAAGGAGAAAGGAAACAGATTATGTACTTGAAGAAGTTTCATTGGCAGTAAACCCTGAATCCTAACTTGGATTCTTTATATGTAAATTGGCTATGCAGTAGCAAATCTGGATTTGTTACTGAATTATTTTATAGGAACAGAAGGTATATTTATACAGAACTACATTTTACCTTAAATTATATGTTTAGTGCTTTCTTTCTAAAATTAATTAAATAATATCAGGCCATTTAGGTTTCAGGAACTAGTGTAATAACTGGAATGCAAAGGTCTGTTTGTTAATTTATACAAGTTGTGGCTAAGAATATCCTTAGAAATAAAACAATAAACTTGCTGAAATCCCATTGAAAGGAACAGAATATATATCAATACCATAAACTTAACTCTAGTAATTGACTCTGCTGTACCTAATCTTAATCTGACAGCTGCCTATTGCAATTTAGGATACAGTTAGTCCTCACTTAACTATTCATGTAGTGACTGTTCAAAATTACAATGGTGCTGAAAAAAGTGACTTATGACTGGTCCTCACACTTAGAACCATCACAGCATCACGTGGTCACCATTTGTGACCTTCCCAGCCAGCTTCTGACAAGCAAAGTCAATGGGAAAGCCAGCAGGAGGTCGCAAGACACAGTCACATGATGTCTCACTTAACGACTACTGGTGATTTGCCTAATAACTGCAACCATGACTGCCGGAACTCATCACTACACAGGGTGGTTACATGTTTCACTTAATGACTGCTTCACTTAGTGACAGAATTGCCAGTCCCAATTATACTATTTGTATATGTGTTTGAACAATTTCTTTATACGTGGAAGGAAAAATCTTACTATTATTTGAAACCAGCACCAGTAAGACATATACAGACATTCTTTTCAAATTCATACTAGAATCCTTATTAGTTAAAAACATACGAAGATCCTCAAATAATTCAGCTGTGCATAACATCTGCTGGCAGAACACTGAAAAAAATAATCATAATGTTAATAACACTATATTGCTTGCATTAATTAATCAAATACAATTTAATTTTCTGATAATTATGTATAATTGAGCAAATATAGTGACTATAATCACTGTTCTCGCCTACCTAGTAGAACTTACTTTTCAGAAATATGGGTAGAACTACATTATAATTGTAGCTTTGTGAGCATAAAATGTTTCAATTTATTCAAGTGCAGAATTTTACTCTTTTTAATTGAAACTTACTCTGCAATCAGTGTCTTTAGGATTGTAATCTAAGATTGCAACCTTGTACATGCTCACTTGAGAGTAGTTCTAAGTAGATAGGAATAGGATTGTACTCTAAGAGTGTTTTCAGTGACATTTAGGAGCTTATTTTGATGGAAGTGCAAGCAACTTCATAGCAACCATGACTCTAACAGTACTTATTTATGCATCTCTTCATTAATATTTGCAGAATCACTTATGTTATGAGTTTAAAAGTGCCTTGATATTAAGTCAGGCAGAACTCTCCATGATAAACTATTTTCATAACATTCGCTAAGGATTTCTGTTTTCTTACTTTCCTTCTGTAGAAAACAGAAACTGACATTTAAACATTTGATGACTATTAAAATATAGCTGGCTCACCATCTTCGGCCCCTCCACCTGAGCTACTGTTACATGGAAATTTCCTTAGTACGGTGATCAGATTAGTATTTTAAAAATGTACATTTTATTTCACTGATCTGCAAAAATGGATCAATAAAAACAAAGCATTCTGTAAATAGCATGAAAATAATGATATAATGAAATGAGCATGAAATTGTATCTTACCGTTATTCTCAGCTAAACCTCCTAATGTAAATAAAGCAGCTTCCTTAACCAAACTCTGCACTTGTGACTTCACAAGATTGCACACAAACATCAAGCCACCTATTTCTCTAAAATAATCACAGGCAGCACCTGTAGCAAAAACAGATCCAGTGAACAATAGACGACGTTTTAAAATACAAAATTTCTATACTAATAATCCCAAAGAACAAAACAAACAATTTTTTAAAAGCTACAATTGTAAAATTCAATGGCTTACTGTTTTGTTGACAAACTGAATAAATAGTAACCAAGGCTTCTTTTTGAGAAGCTGGATGGTCCATCTGATACTTAAGACATTCGAGGAGTAAATTCAGATCAGTTTTCATATCTGGAAGGATAAAACAAAGACTTCAAAATATTTAGATTTTCCTTTTTTTAAGTTGATAATTAATGGCTAGAATCTCGCCATCTATGACAGTCAATTGCACTAATGTTAAGACTTCCATCAATATTACAAACAATTACTAGGTAGTGTATTTACTATGTAGAAATATTTTTACTATTTTAATAAATGAGAATTGCTGTTGTTAATCCATGTCTTTATCTACATGGAAGTTTGAAATTACTTGCATTTTACATTCACAAATACCAGGAAAAAGTACTATTTCCAGAGCAGATTTAGTACCATCCTTTAATAAACTGTGGAATATTATTGTTACTGTATTATATTTTTACCTTACTTTTTATAATTAACTCAAGACAGCAAACGTACCTAATGCCTACTTCTAAACTGGAAATTATTTAATAAAACTTATCCAAAGTTGACTATTGCCTTAATCTTTGATCATAATAAAGATTTGATTTGATAACTGACCATATTTAACATGCAGGCATACATATTACAGAAAAGAAAAACAGCTACTGTAAGTACAAGAGACCCATTCTGAGTACCCAGATATGGGCATTCTTTCTCATAGTCCTAACACAGAGAAATACATAAATTCTTGAGTGCTTGAGCACTGTTGTGCAAATTAATCAGTCAAATGGGCAAAATAGTTGTAGGGACAAAAAGAGAAGATAAAAAACAGAAACCTTTTAGCCATTTCAGCATAAGGAAAAGACAAAACATTTACTAATCGCTTTTTTAAAAAATACAACAGGTAGGGGCAACTCTCTAGTATCCAAGCTGGATTTAAAGGGAACAAAAAGCATATCGCAGAAGCACACCTGATCATTCTATTGTACAGAAAGAAGCCCAGATATTCGGGTGCAATTCTGACAGGTAGATAGTTGCACTAACAATGAAGAGACTGAAGCGCCATTGGCTCAGCTATGGAGCGATTCAGACGCTAACTGATCATGTGGCCCTTTCAGAGTTTTGAAGGTGATTGCAGTGAAGATGACTGCAGGTTGTCTCAAAACGGGTTCTTGAAGGTTTGGGGTAGGAAAGTGAAAGGAAGCTAAGGGGAGGCTTAGTTTTCCCTAGAGATTCTAGACTTTAGGCTGCAGTGCCTTCTCCATCCTTTCAAAAAGAAAAGAAAGTTTAAAACTTGAAGCATTTTTTTTTTCTTAAAGATAGCTATGATATTGGGATTCTGCTTCATAGCCAAAACTCTGCCACCCGGCATTTTTGTGAATACTGTAGGCTGAAGCAGCTTCCCTTTTTCCTTTTGTTCCCAAACAAAGCAAAAACTCATTTTTTCATCAACAAGAGAACTGTGTATATGAAAACTATGCCTCGGTGTTGAAAACCATGAAAACTATGCCTCACTGTGCCTCTGTGTCATAAGATCCCCTACTGACAAAACAGCCACATTTTTTTTTAATTTACTATTACAATCTCCTCAAAGAATAAAATAAAATTTTAAAATAAAAACAATAACATCGAATACGACAATAAAATATTTTTGTTTGTTTTTATCAAATAAGAGAATAAAAGTAAACATAAAATACATGTTTCTTATTTTATTCTATTATTTGTTTAAATTTCTAATGGGCCTCTGCACTAGATCCATTGTAATGTAGTACAGAACTACAGTATATTAAAATGCACTATTATTTATTGATTTATTTTTATTGATAGACGCTTCCTGAAAATCTCTTCATTCCCTTCTTGACCACCATAATAATTAAAGTTTGATTACTTAATCAAAATTACTAATTAATGTGTAAAATGCATATTATTTGTCTAAGGGAAGAAATGGGTGCACAAGGCAAAACTAGATGTGAAGTAAGAGCATGTAACACCACATTTCTTTTAGTATTAAACAGTATTCAATAAATCTCCTTTTTCTTTTTTTCTCCTTTTTTATAAATAAAATACTCAGGAAATATTATTTTCCATTCAATGTAGGGCTTTGCTCTGCCCAATTAACTGAATACAAATTCTTCAAAATTTCCCACAGGAAAACTGTAACAGCTAAGTACCAACAAGATGCATTTGTCTGTGTGTACGCCAATCTTACCACATCTGATTTTCTTATCTTTTCCATTTTCCATTTTGATTGTACTTTTTCTCAGCTTTTATCTGTAATAAAGGAGGAGGAGGAAAAATAAAACGAGTACTTTCTTCCTTAGAAAAAAATGCTTTCTTTTAGAAAAGAAAAATTATGCAAAGCATATTCAGTTTACTAAACTCTTATCCTTTTGTATCCCAGTTCTCATTATAGGATACAAAATTAAATATCCAACAATTCATCTGCAACAGCCATTCCTACCAATAAACTCTTGAAAAAGATCTTTTAAAAATAATTTGTTCAAGTCAATATACAATTTTTGAGTCGTGTTGCAAGTCTAATCCATCTGTGTATAACATTTTTGGGATAATTCTCCTAAATGTAATTCACAAAGAATGCCGGTGGATGATCTGAATGTAACTGCAGAGCTGATAATCCAAAATAAATATAGCCTTGTCATATAGACCCTCTTTATCAGAAGGGGTCTCCATCTTCTTTTCCTGAATACGTGTGACTTAAATGGAAACCAGCAAAGTAAACCCAACCACAAGATTTAATCGTGTGATCTGCCACACCTCCCCAAATTAACCATGTATACTTGTTGACCAGGCTTGGGGGCTTAGCATATCATGTGAACCCAGCCATAAGTTTGTATCATTTTAGCGGGTTACATGAACCACACCAATGTGAATTTGGACTGTGATTGATGGCTTTCCATCAATGTGTGAAGAAGTCAGCACCTTGCAATCAAACCTACTCCACGGTTCTCTGGGAAAGTTTACGCTAGAATAAATATATTCGTTTTTAGGATGCAAAATTAGTGAGTCACTATTTTTCTTACAACAGACAACTTCTGGAAACTGGGGACTATGGAATTTGTAGGAATGGGACAGCCTACCATAACTATATTTATCCTTTGGAAGAAGGGAAGGCGTCAGATCGAATGGTTGGGATAGTGAACTAAAGATGGAGAGGCCCAAGTCCAGATTCCCTTCAGGGGAGGTGGAGATTTGGTTCACATATCAACATGAACCACATCAGTGGGTCTTGCATTTCAGAGCAGGGGCGAATTTGCAGGGGCGTCCATGGGTGGGGGTCAAAAAAATCAAGTTGGCAACGGCCATCAAGCCTCCATCCCTTTTTTATTGGCATTCAGGCACAACTTCCATCCTATGATGATGGACGCCATTTTGACTTTTTTGATCCCTCAGCAGATGCCTCTATCGGTGGGTCTTGCAACAGTTTCTTGGCTCCTGAACGGGAGATGGGATGTAAATCTAGTTAATAAATAGAAACAGTATTTCCTCTCTAATCACAGCTTCAAAACTCAGGCTGAGTGGATGCATCATGCTAAGCCATGGCATAATTAATCAAGGTTTATCATGCAAGCAATAATTGGCTTGGTTTACAGACAGTAACTTTAGAGCAGGGTTTACAAAACAGCCAGGCTGGGTCTGGGGCGTCTGCAGGGAGTGGTCCAAAAATTCGAGATGGTGGCATAAAAACAGGTGGAACTTCGAGCTGCACTATTGTGTCCGCCATCTTGATTTTTTTGGACCGCATCCTGCAGACACCCCTGGGCTCATACAATAAACTAAGCCCAAACCAAGTAAACTATATTATGACATAATGTGACATATGAATCCAGTAAATGGGGCCTGTCAGCCCTCCTTAACTGAAAACCTCTTCCCAGTTACTTGAAGAATAAAATGGATATTCAGGGCCTTTCCTGCTGGAAACAATATAGTGGGGTTCGATACCAGCCCGTAAAAACAGGGTGAGCCTGCATCAGTCGTGAGAATAATAACTGCAATTAGAATTTAAGACCCTGGCCCAGAGTTTCTCTCATGCTATTTAATCAGTTGTGCAAAACAGTGTGCTCCCTGAAATGTTCACAGATAAGTGTGACCAAGCCCCGAAAAGGCATCTCTGTGTACTCCAAAGGAGAGTTTTATCATGTTTCTTCCAAATGGTGTCTTATTAGATGCAGTGAGTTGTTTTGAAGGGCCGGTTTGTACCAAATCTATTTAAAATAAACGCGTCCCTGCCTCTCACGTACACAAACTTCTCTCTCCCGCCAATCCGCCCGTCATTCAATTACAGCCTGCCCCCCAGATGTCCGCCAGGTGAACTGGGACTACAACTCCCAGCATCCTTAGCTCAGGGACCACTGCTCAGCCAAACCCAGAAAGCAAACCAAAGCTTTCAAATTTGTCTCTTTCTTGCTTCCCTGTTTAAATTTTGGGCAGGGGGAGCAATGATGGCAGGCTGTCTGGGATGTTTCCCTGTGGCCATCTTCCCCACCGTGCACCGGCTGAGGGGAGGCTGCGACTTTGCCTCGGATCGCTGCCCCCCAGCCTCGCTCTCTTCCTCAGGCCTTGACATCAGGGCCCTGCAGTTAGCATTACAAATTCCAAGTTTTTCGAGTAACTCCTCTACTAGGAACCTCCAAATTTCTCCAAATGGGGATTTTGGCCCTTAGGACCTGAGAGATACACGCTGGCACTGATCACTCGTAAGCCAGCAATGAAGAAGCAGCTGCAGATGATTTCTTTGGACCGTAACATGAGCCTTGCAGCCATGTCAGTCCCTTCTCAGATTGGATTTGAGGGTCATCTTAGTGGCAGGAAAGCCATTTCATTTCTGGCATTGAACATGGAAAGCAAGGAGGCCTAATTCGTTCTTGGGCCAAGTATACACCACACAACCTGATTTAAAGAGAGAGATCACACATATTGACTTGTATTTGATGAATGACATTTGCCTGTACAGGAAAACTGTCTGAGATGGGATGTTTAGAAAAATACACATGTACTCACTCATGCATCCATGAAGTTCGTCATCTAGTGGATGGTTTCACATTTATTTAAAATGTGTGTGTGAGATTGCATATCAAATGACAAAAATATATGAAATCATCTGCCCAGAAGGTACAATCTTTCTTCAAGGTGCAGATGAACAAGGCCAAGTTATGAGTAAACGTGACTTGATTCTGCAGGTGTGAACCTTGGTTCACCTAATTTTTTCCTCTTATAATTTGAAAACTGATTCCAGGATTACTTGATAGATAAGCAACCGTTAAGGAACATTTTAACGAGCTCACTATTTCAATCATATTAGCCAACACATTGTCTAATATGATTCATTTCATGAGCTGGATGCCACAAATAAGCTGGACTTCATAGTCCAGTGGTTTGCATCTGTTTTTTAAGGCAGTGAAAATCCAAGTAATTTTTTTTAAAAAGTATTTAAACTGCCTTGGGATTCCAGAGATCCATAGAAGCAATTCACAACCATCTTAAACTGAGGTAAATTTCTTTTACAAATGACCTGCAGTGTTCTTCTGAAGATAAGTTACTAAACCCAATTCTCAAACATAGTGTCCGGCTATTAACTGGAGGAAAAACCTAGGTTTAAGGACACATTAATAATATTGGGAAGAACACTGCATATTACAGTGAGTTGGATCTAGAATTCAGACCAACAACATTCTACTGATTGTGGAGGAAAAACTGAGCAATGTTTTTGGTCAGCTCCATCCCACTGTAGCCAAATACCCCCAAAAGCTACTACAAGTATTGCAAAAACCTCCAGCACAATGTGTAAGAGGGCACTGGTGTCAGCAATGGAAAGGAGATATCAGTTCAAAATGGTTGCCTTCTTCTTCACCAGTTTCAGTGGACCCTCCAGTCCTCTTTGTGAACCAATCTTTTCATGGAGAAGTATAACTATATGCTCCAAGAAACTGTTACTCAAGAGGATATAACACAGTTTATACTTAGTACTACTGCCCATTTGCTTCAAGAAGCTATCTATTTAACACAATGTTTAAAAGCACTTTCCTGAGTCCTGTAGGCAAGCCAATGTTCTTTGTGAAGGGCTAAATCTACTCCTAACCAACCCCTCCAAAAAGTACTAACATATAAAATATGGAGAATCAGTGTAGTCATATTTTTAAGAAGCCACAGTTTGCATGTTCCAGTGCCTTTTATTAAAATGCAAGATACATTCTTTATTACAATTTGAAAGAATTTAGAAGGACAAAAATAATACAAAGAATGGAACTGGCATTATACATCCTTTTCAGCAATACTTTAACAGAACAGAACGCAAATCAAAAACAGTTACAGATTCCAACAATGTAGTGGGTTAGTTTACAGTTTGAATGTTGCTGAGGTCTGCGACATGCCATTGTAAATGTAGGTGTTATTAAATATTACAAATTGCCTGGTAACAATTTTCACAACTTCCTGAGCAGCAGCTCCTGTAAAACAGCCAAGGAATGGTAATAAATTTTTTAAAAACCAAATAATATCTATATTATTATATAGATATATAACAGAATTGACAACACATTTACAAGCCAACTGATTCAAACCCAGCTGGATAGTTTCTAGCTTTTCACTTTTTTTCTTCAGTTGCTACCTTACATCAATGAGTAGAAATAGAGCATGAACACTCTCATGGTTGATTCAGCTCAGTGGCAAATTGCATTTTTTCCATGTTCAATCTCTGGCAGCTTCAGTTAAAAAATCCTGGATGCTGGAAAATATGTTTACCAGAGACATTGGGAACTTCTATCCATCAGTATAGTTTTAGTTGTGGGCTTCAGGGATTACAAAGCTCAAAACAGCTTAGGACCAGTATGAAAGAGAGTCTCGCCCCGCACAAGCTTGTCCATAACCTGAATTTGTCAGTTAAGACCCCTTATGCAGCCTATCAAAGTGAGGTAACAGGCACTGGAAACTATGATTACCAACTCTGTTCCCTAAAAAATGTATGGTAGTGTCATTCTTATTTTCTTTAGCAGCGTGTGAAGGCAACGTTATTCTGCTGAGCTTCCAACAGTAAATGTCAGTCTCAGATTTTACTGTTATCTGTGACTATTACTGCAATCAAGGGTTGTTTTGTTTCAAGCGTCCATTGAGTGGAAATGTAATTAATACATCAAATAAGCAATAATGGCGTGAACTAACTGTGACACAGCTTCTCATGTTCGTAAAAATATTTGAGACAATTTAACTGCATTGTAGTCTTAAATTATCAATGGTATGAATAAATATCAGTGTATTTCATACTCCAAGTTCATCTTAATTGATTCTCATAATTAAAATTCAAAAAGGGCAATCTAATCTGGGGAGTTTTATGTGCATCTAAAATTTGCCACAAAAGAATACTGGTTGTAGTGTATGGCTTACATGTTTAATATCTCAGTGCATGTATCAAAATATTCTAACTATGGAGTACAAACTAGTATGTGTTTTATTGCACATGTATAAACTTTGGAAATAATTTTAAATATGAAACATTTTTCATCACAGCAAAGGGAATTATATCAGTATAATGAATACTTACTACCTCTAACTGAACATAATACAGTATGCAATTCTAAGATATTAGTACAACAGACATGAGAATTCAAAGTAATACCAATGTAAGACCCAATCTTTTTGCATGTAAGTTGGCTTGTAGTTCAACTTGGACACATAAAAATAACAATCCTTTTACCTCCTAGAAATGCTGCTATGGTGTGTGGCTCAGCAGCTCCGTATCGACAACTACAAAAGGAAAATAACAACAGTTGCCATATTTATTTCATAATAATATCTTGGAAAATATCTTTGTAACTTATGTAACACTTACAATTCATGGACATAATCATCCTTGACTGTTACAGGCAGTCCGTATTCCTGAAGAAAACTATTGAGGCAAGATTTCAGTTTTCCAATATCATCCTCCACTTGATAGTTATAAACTCCTGAAAAGAAAGTGTGATTATTATAGATAGAACTAACATTTCAGTGCAAGTAAATGAAATATAATTTTGTCAAAGAATAATTCTCTACCCCCATGTAAAGATATACTAAAGCAGAAAAGTAAAGATTTTACTAAGCTTTTACATTAGATTTGTCAAATATACACAATTATGATATATGCAGTAAATATTAAAACTTCAATCTGTAATACATTTATGAATTTGAACGCTGAGTGCTATTAAGTCTACATTATAGAAAGTATTCATTTTTATCTCAGAAAGTATATGATATATTGAAAACAATTTTACCTGGGTATCTACCATTGTGTTTAAAGAATCTGTCCACAGCTCGTAACATTAGGTACAGCACCATTTCGCTATCTGGATTATCCATATGGGAAGCTTTAAGTAGCAAAACAACAACATATAAATTGCTAACAATCAAGAGAATAGTGTTAAAGTCTAAAGGTCAACTTAATTAAGTACAGATAGTCTTGCTTAATGATTGTTCATTTAACAATGGTGCCAAGTTATGACAACCTTGGAAAAAGTGTTTTACGGCCGGTACTTACACTTACAACCGTCACACAACCCCCGTGGTCATGTAATCACAATTCGGGTGCTTGGCAACCAGCTCGCATTTACGACCAGTTGCAGCATTATGCAGTCATATGATCACAATTTGTGGTCTTTTTTGCTGGTTTCCAGCAAAAAACGTCCATTGGGGAAGCTGGATTTGCTTAATGATCACTGGGCAATCTGCTTACTTATCTCATCTTTGTTTGAAGTATTCAGTCCGTATTCTTCAGAAAGAGATCTACATCGTACTACTCGAAGAAATGCTGAGTTACTGCCTAAACAAAGAATACCAAGGAAAGTGGGAAAATGGGAAGAGGGCAGGAGAGAATAAGTATTTTAAATATAAAGATACATCTTTATGATTAATTCCTACAACCTACAAGAGATAGTTATGTCATTCTCGCAATTATATTCCTTTTAAGACAGTATTCAAAAATTTGCCATGGAATTTGAAGTACAGGATTTAAAATTTTCTATAGATTCTATAGATTTAAAATGTTCTCCACTATGACTTTTAATTATACAGTAGCAAAGCCAGTTTTTTTTTTCTAATGTTCTTCCTGCATGATTAAGGCTAATTAGGAAAGGAGCAATCCAGGAAATTCAGTTTGGGTACATCATTAAACAATGGATGATTCCTTGTTTAGCCTATTCCATTAGTAGGAGGAGTCAAATGGAAGCAACTGAACAGAATTCCTTAAAACTTAGTCTTATTAACATGATGTAAGAAAAATGAAATACTTACAGAGCAATTTTAATTCTTTTTGAGAAATGGATTCTGGTGCCTGTGAAGCAAAATGCAAATTTGTTTTTGTAAAGTTAGAATACCTAGTCTCTAGTACAATTGTTTTCTAAATTCCTGTTATAGAATTTGATTTAACTATTTGTTCTGGGGGCGCACCCATGGACAATCACAATTTTATATCTATCTTCTGCAATTCCACGTTTCTGGAATCAGTCATGTTAAGGAATGAACGTCTATATGGGATTTCAGGCTGTCTCTCCTATCCACCCTCCTTAATATATAAAGACCCGATTCTGCTTTTAATTTCTAGAATTAAGTAATTGTTCTTACCCCTTAGTGGAATGTCTTAATTACAAAATGCAATAGTTCAAATGTCTGTGTTTAAACACCCACATGTAATTTGGATAAAAAAGCCATGGTAGCTAAAGGATTCTGCGAGTTCACAACCCTTTTCCAGTGCCCTGGGCTAGCACAATTGTTTCCTAAACAGAACCAGCTAAAGCAGAGAACAGTTTAGGGAAGGAAAGAATCAGGCTCAGTACTCATTTCCTCTTCTAATGAAACACTTCTGCAGAGAAAAAAAAATAGGTTCTTTCACCAATTATCCTCACTTTTTCTTTCCTAAATTTCAGCAGATCTTCCTTCTTCCTACGTGAAAAGTTAATACATTTAGTTGTCAGTTATGGCCCTCCCAAAACACACTGCTAGCATTACAGAAGCAGCTGTGTTTTTAATACAGTGGTTTCTATTCTTCCCCATACTTACCTTCCATCACAAGGCATCTGTGTTATCCAATTTTTTTTTTAACTATTTGCAGTTTTTAATACAGTGGGTTCTATGCTTCCCCATACTTACCTTCCATCACAAGGCATCTGTGTTATCCAATTTTTTTTTTTAACTATTTGCAGCATGACTAGGCCTATTAATCAAATGTAAATTTGTGAGCAAGGCTAATGAATTCTTTGGACTCAGCCATTACAAAAAAATGTACTTAACTCCATGTTAGGAAAGAGCAGAGAACAAAAAGTGTATTTTCTACTAACTCACCTTGCCAACTGACTGCAACAGCTTTGCAGCATAATTAGCCACAGCATCGGCATCTTTCTTGGCTTTATCACGGTATCTTAAAAAAATAAAGTCCTAAAAATAAACTTCAGCAAATCTAACCCAAAAATCAATAGGCTTCATGTGCATGAATATTCACACTTTAATTAATAGTAACAAATGAATGCAAAGCGAATTGTATTGTCTTATGATAGGTTATTTATGCTGAAGCATGCAAAATTGTGTTATTTTTATATTCAAGTCGGAATTCTCTGGGCAGAAAAACCAGGAATATGAGAAATCCAATCTTGTCCTTCCCCCAAACGAGTAAAGAAGCAAGAAAGATTCTTATTGAAGAAAGGGACTGAGGAAGTGATTTTCTTTTATTCCTATCAAACCCCCAGTACTACCCTGATGTTTTGGAAAGACCCCCAAATCTCTAGATCTGAGGAGTCGTTACAGGTATGTAGAGGAATTAAACACACCATAGCCCTAACTTCTTTTTCCAGTAGCAGAGAGAGAAGCAGAAAGCTTTTTCCATTTTGATTATGAGTTACTATTTTTACTATGAATTAAAAGCAGTTTTTGATATTTTTAGAGATATTGCAAACTTTGCAATCCGTTTCAGGCCACAGTTATATCAAAGCCACCCCAAAATAAGGAGTTGATAAAGTCACATTGAAAATGTTTGCAGAAAGCATTTGTTTTGAAGGGGAGCTCAATGCTAATATAAAACTAAACAATTATAGAAAAATACTTACATATTTTGCAATTTGATAAATTTACTCGAATCTGCTATCATATCTGGAATTGTACCCCTGACAGGTAAATTTCCTTGACCTTCTTTGCCCACAAATTCTTTCACCGCTCGAGCCAGTATCCAAAAAGGTGGAGTCTAAGAACGAAGAACAAAACAAGTCAAAACCAAAACCAATGTTGACTTCTTTTACTCAGAGAATCAGAACATTGGACATTAATTCAAGCAATTTGTATTTACTACCTGCTGCGAGAGATTGATACAACGATCATCACTGAAAATCTCTTCAATACAATTGGGTACCTAAAAACCAAATTCAAGAAAATATTTGTTTCCACAATTTTTTTTTTCCATTAGGAATTCAGTCATTATGCAACTAAAAGATCTGATAGCAGGTGGAGACTTCCCTTTACCTTAGTAGCAATTACAGCTGTGTTTACATTTTTAATAGCTTCTTCGAAGTTTTCTTCATCTTCTAGGATTCCATTTTCATTCTTTAAAATTCCTAGGAAGAAATGAACTGACTGAATAAGACTTTATTAACCAGGAAATAGGTGGTAAACAGACACTCTTTACCTCTTTTGAAGTCATATTAATATGCAGGGATTTTTTTTAATAGGTTAATGAGCTTCTAATAAATATATGCCACTAAACCAGAATTAGGATGCATATTTACATATATCTTCAAATAAAGTCCACAGAAACATAACATTGCAATAGAGAGGTAGACAGATTGCCAAAAACTCTCATTTGGTATTACCTTGCCTAATCATCTCACGGAAGGCCTCCTTTTCTTTGTAGTTCTTAGGTATCTGACCATTGTTCTAAACAGAAATATCATAGACTTGAATTTTATGAAACTATGTATATTAAGGCAAATAAAAGTTAGTTCAAATAAAGTCCATGCAGTAAGGGAGGCCTGGGTGTGTATCTGCGCTCCAATAGGCATCACAGTTTGTAAATGTGGGCAAACATTCCCACATTGTTTGTTTCACAAAATTAACAAGGATTTGGTATCTGAATATTATAATAACTCTGTTCATATGCAAAGGGAAATCATGATTCTTTAGTATTCAGTGCTGATCAGAAAGAAACAAATGTGCAAATAAGAGCAACTGAACAATGTCAATGGTTTGTTTACCATTATATGTGAATCTAGCTTGGTTTTGTCATAAGTCAAGAACAAATGTGCCTTAAAAGTCTAATGTATTAGGAAACAAGCCAGAAATCCCATTTTACATATAACGCTAACCAAATCATAGATAGCTGCACCTGCTGGCAGATGGGCTCAAGCAAGAAAATATAATGTGGAGCACATCAGAATGTTGCTTGTTCATATTTAAGTCCAAATGTTTAAGCCAGAGTACACCGGTGAGGTACAAAATCTGTGCAATTTACAAAATCTCTGTGGGTGTTGATGGGTTTTTGTATTGGGAATTTTACTTTGTAAGCTGCCTGGAGTCACTGGGTATGAGTTGGGTGACCATGTACATT